AGGAGGGAGGGAGGGAGGAACAAAAACAAAACGAGAAGAGGACTCCTGTGCCAGACTGTTGCTCCGAGCCCTAAGGAGGCAAAAGCAGGTGGACCTCTGAATTTGAGGCCAGCTAGGGCTGCATAATGGTACCCTGTTTCAAAAAAGAGAGAGAAAGAAAAGACTACCCACACTGTGTACTGTGCTTAGTGCTGAACACAGGGTTTTGTGCATGCAAAGTCAGCACTCGCACTGAGCTACACAGACATTTCTGTAGCTGTGTTACATAATGATACTTAAAACGTTTTGTAGTCTTTTAAGGACACAGCCCGAATAACTGACTTCCTGCAGCCTCCCAGCCCCACCCCCACCAGCTAACCTTCAGTCAGGCTGTTCGGCCAGCGTGTTTCTGTGCAGATAATGTGGTTTTGAGACCACGGGCAAGAGCCTGTCCTCGGATTCAGACCCCGTTTCCTCCCTCCCCCGCTCAGTCTCTTGACTTCACAGACACTTTCTAATTGTGACCCTACTGCTGCCTCACCGCCACACACACACCCAGCAGTACACTGACAGAATGCACGGGTAGCCACATCATCTTGTTACATTATAAATACGAAATTTACAAGTTAAAAAAAAAATAATGATTTCTGGTTTTGGTTCTTAAAAAAAAAAAAAGTGTGTGACGGGGCTGGAGAGATGGCTCAGCGGTTAAGAACACTGACTGTTCTTACAGAAGACCCAGGTTTGAGTCCCAGCACCCACATGGCAGCTAACAACTGTCCATAACTCCAGTTCCAGGGGACCCGACAGCCTCTTCTGTCCTCCACAGGCATTGCTTGACATGGGTGCACTTACCCACACGCAGGCAGTACACACACATAAAATAATAAATAAAATATTTAAAAAAAATAAGTGTATGACCACCGAGGTAAACGCATTTTGTTTGTAGCTGTTGTCCGTTTTCAGTTTGAGACATTAACTGTTGTTTTCTGCAAACAAATTGATGAACAGGTACAGACTATCCTTTCCTGTTGCAGAAAGAAATCATGGCGCGTGGAGTAAGGCAGAGACCCAGAAACTAATCAAGGCTGTGGAAGAAGTTATCCTAAAGAAAATGTCTCCCCAGGACTTAAAAGAACTGGATTCTAGACTCCAAGAAAACCCTGAAGGCCGCCTGTCAGTCGTCCGGGAAAAGCTCTACAAGGGCATTTCCTGGGTGGAAGTGGAAGCCAAAGTGGAAACCAGAAACTGGATGCAGTGCAAAAGTAAGTGGTAAGTGTGAGGCCTTGCGGAAGCCTGGCGGGACTCTCATTCTGTGTGGAGTGGTGGGAGGTTGCTGGAAACAGCTGCGTAATGGTGCTCGGTGTCTAGAATACTCTGCTCTGCGCTCTACCCACTTCAGTCAGCACTGCAACCCTGACTGAAGGCGCAGGCTACAGTGTGGGGTGTCTCTGTGCAGGGGCATATGGTGTCCTACAGAACTTGAAGCCAGAGGCTGGAGAGATGGCTCAGCGGTTATGAGCACTGGCTGCTCTTGCAAAAGATTCAGGTTCGAATCCCAGCACATGGCAGCTAACAACCATCTGTAACCCGGTTCCAGGGGATCTGACGCCTCTTCTGTCCTCTTCAGGCATTACATGACATAGGCACTCTCAGGCAGGCATAACACTCATATACATAAAAATAAATAAAGCTGGGCATGGTGGCACACACCTTTAGTTCCAGCTCTCAGGAGGCAGAGGCAGGTGGATCTCTATGAGTTCAAGACCAGCCTGGTCTACATAGTGAGTTCCAGGCCAACTGGGGCTACAGGGAGACCCTGTCTCAAAAAGACCAATAAGTAAATATTAAAACAAATAAAAAGAATTCGAAGCCGAACTTGGTGGTGCACATCTGCGATTCCCACATTCAGGAGGCAGAGGTGGGAGGATCACGTTTGGACCAGCCTGGGTTGTAGAATGAGCTGGACTTGTGAATTGCCGACTGCGTCTTTACATCTTTCATAAAGCAGGAAGAACAGTTTTTGTGAAGTTAAAGTCACAACTTTAAGGAAGCACTTACCACATCCCACCCGGTGCTGAGGAAAGCCTGGACGTGACTGTGTGCGGTGCGGAGGAGACACAGGACTCAGATCTGCCCGGACATGACTGTGTGCGGTGCGGAGGTGACACAGGACTCAGATCTGCCCGGACATGACTGTGTGCGGTGCGGAGGTGACACAGGACTCAGATCTGCCCGGACATGACTGTGTGCGGTGCGGAGGTGACACAGGACTCAGATCTGCCCGGACATGACTGTGTGCGGTGCGGAGGTGACACAGGACTCAGATCTGCCCGGACATGACTGTGTGCGGTGCGGAGGTGACACAGGACTCAGGAATGCCTGGACATGACTGTGTGCGGTGCGGAGGTGACACAGGACTCAGATCTGCCCGGACGTGACTGTGTGCGGTGCGGAGGTGACACAGGACTCGCAGTTCTGCCTAACTTGTTCTGGATTCCAGCTGGGCTGCTGAGTACCACAGAGAGTTTCTGTCCTGGTCTGGCTGCATGTCCTCCGCCCAGTCTCTTTCCCAAGCCCTGGAGGGTCATCCCTGCATGCTAGCTACAGCCAGACTCTGAAGCCGCACTTATGCATTTGACCAGTACACAGGTGTCTCCTCACCTCTCAGATGAGCATGAAGTGCAGAGGAGGGAGGGGTGCTATGTGTTAGAAGTGGACTCCTGGGTCACACGCCACACACCTCAGCTGTGCTTGGGGGGCTGTCAAACCCAGGGTGAGATGCATGTTAGGCAAGCACCCCATACCCAGCTACGTTCCCAGCCCACTGAATTTAATCCTCGGGGAAAGAAACCACAAAGAACAGGTAATGCTGAGGGTGTGACATGGAGATCAGGACTTTCTAATCCACTGTTAGGGTGCAGAGGGGGGTTGTGAGCCCAGCTGGAGGGTGATGTATCCATATTTAAAGGGGAAAATGGTTGAGGACAGTCTTGCGAGGTGTGTTTGTTTAATTTGAGTAGAAAAATAGGAGCCAGCCCCCGAGCTCAATTCACCTGCTATAACTTAGGGTGAGCGCAAGTCATCCATTCTCCATTAACTGCCTGGTGTGCTTGGTGCCACACACCTATAACCCCAGTGCTCAGGAGGCTGAGACAGAAAGTTTAAAAGAACTCAAGGCCAGCCCAGGCTACATATCAAGACATTGTCTCAAGAACCAAAGGAAGCTGGGCAAGGTGGAGCACACTACTTTAATCCCAGCACTCGGGAGGCAGAGGCAGGCGGATCTCTGTGAGTTCAAGGGCAGTCTAGTCTACATAGTGAGTTCCAGGATAGCTGGGGCTACAGGGGGACCCTGTCTCAACTCAAAAAAACCAAAAAAAAAAAAAAAAAAAACCAAAGGGGGGGAAGAATGTAAAGGGTGGGCTCCGTGCTCTGTTTGCTCTTTGAGGTCAGTCCCGTTTTGTGTCCTAACTGGTCACTGCTCTCGGGGACAGCAGTCGCCCCTTTCCTCCTGACTCTGCCAGCACCAGAGTCAGCACACACCTGTTCTCATTGATCACTGGTGTTCAGAGGCTAGTGATGGGGAAAACGGCTCCATCTACCTCTTTTATTTTTAATGTTTTTATTTTATGTGTTTTTGCCTGTGTGCATTTAAGTATACCACGTGTGTGCCCTACCCACAAAAGCCAGAAGAGGATGTTGGATCCCCTGGAACTGGAGTTACAGTTGGTTATTAGTTGCTATGTGGGTGCTGGGAACCAAACCTGGGTCCTATGCAAGAGCAGCTTCTTAACAGCTAAGCTGTCTCTCCAACCCTTTATTCTTTTTTTTTGACACAGGTTCTCACTTGGTAGCCCTCACTGGCCTGAAATTCCTAGAGATCCATCTGCCTCTGCCTCCTGAGTGTTGGGATTGAAGGTGTATACCACCATGCACGGCCTAATACCCACCTGTTTTATAAATAGCCTTTACGTGGTGGTGTCCTTTAGCACCTATTACTAGCCTTCTTCCTTTCTCTTATCTTAAAGTTATCCATTATGGGGACTGGAGAGATGGCTCTGTGGGTAAAGAACTGGCTAGGCAAGCACGAGGACCTGAGTTCAAATCCCCAGCATCCACATAAAAGTCAGATGCAGTGATTTGTGTCTGTAACCACAGTCTTGAAGGGAGGGTGGAGACAGGCATATTCCTAGAGCTCATTTACCAGCCAAACTTCTAGTCATTGAGCTCCAGGTTCAGTGAGAGCTCCTGTTGGCACACACAATTAATCCTAGCACTCAGGAGGCAGAGACAGGTGGCTCTCTGAGATGGAAGCCAGCCTGGTCTACATAGTTCCAGGCCAGCTGGGGCTACAGGGAAGACCAAAACAAACAAACAAAAAAAAAAAACACTGAGTTTGGGTTTGGTGGCCCTCTAGTGTCCACATACACATTCACATACAAGCACATAGCACACCATACATACAAAAAAATTCCCTTATGAAAAATTCATAACGTAAACACAAGTCCATATCAGATTCAACAGTCATTAATGTCTATCCGTTTATTCCTTCCCAATGAATGAGTAGAAATTTTAAATCAGTTCTGAATGAATTTACGTGAGGAAAACACAGGAAACTTTTTTATTTGGATATTATATTTTTTATGTGTATAAGTATTTTCCCTTCATACATGTAACTGTACCCATATCATGCAGTACCCATGGAGGCCAGAAGAGGGTATTGAATCCTCTGGAACTGGAGTTGCAGATAGCTGTTAGCCACCATGTGGGTGGTTAAAAGTGAACCCAGGTCCTCTGCAAGAGTAGCCAGCGCTCTTAACACTGAGCATCTCTCCAGCCCTGACTTCATTTTTTTTTTCTTTTGCCTTCTCAGGAATGGCCCTGACTTCATTTTTAATTTTTTACCTAAAACTATGTTTTTCTTTGTCTCAACAGGACAGAAATTCTAACCAAGAGGATGACACATGGTGGGTTTGTGTACCGTGGGGCCAGTGCTCTGCAAGCCAAAATCAACCTTATTGAAAGGTACGAATGTAGGAATGGTTCTTACCTAGTAGTTGTTAACCCACCAGAGACTTGGGTGACGTTGCCAAGGGTTGAGTCCGCCTCCCACATGCATCACTGTGTGCACGTGAGCTGCTCTCCTGAGTCTCTGTCTACTTGTCCTAAATGAGGGTGAGTGTTGGGGGGATGAGGGGCCAGCATGCCCACCACGCTGTACTCAGTCACCGTCATTAGTCTTCAGAGCTCTCCCTGTTGCTGGAAACTGGAGACAGAAAGCTGAATAGAGCCCCGATGCTCTGCACTGTGACTGCTGGTGACTCTGTTGCTCGGTCCCCAGGGAAGGGGAGGCATGACAGTGTTGCTTTGAGAACACTCATGGACCTGTGCTCACGTCTGCAGAGGAGGAGCAAGGGGAGCAGAGGCTCTGGGTTCTGGCCACCTGCCCAGCTTCCTTCTGGCAGTGCTGAGCCACGTTCCCTGTGTCACACTGGCTGGCTGTGCACCAGCCTTTCTTCCCCTGACGGTCAGGCACGCATGGGTCAGCACCACCTGTTGTTAGGATGAGTTGAGCCAGTGGCCCAGTCCCTCAGCCCCATTTCCTTGTCTATAGACTAGGGCTGATCCCCTCACCTCCTCAGACGGTGCTGGGGGTTACCATGAGAGCATAGCGCACACACAGGGTCCCCCCACCTCCTCAGACGGTGCTGAGGGTTACCATGAGAGCATAGCGCACACACAGGTCCCCCCCTCACCTCCTCAGACTGTGCTGGGGGTTACTGTGAGGGCATAGCACACACACAGGTCCCCCCCTCACCTCCTCAGACTGTGCTGGGGGTTACTGTGAGGGCATAGCACACACACAGGGTCCCCCCCACCTCCTCAGATGGTGCTGGGGGTTACTGTGAGGGCATAGCACACACACACACACACAGGTCTGCCCCCCGCCGACAGTGCTGGGGGTTACTGTGACTGCATAGCACACACACACACACACACACACACACACACACACGCGCGCGCACAGTCTGCCGCCCCCCACCCCAGACAGTGCTGGGGTTACTGGAGTGTAGAGTGCGCACCGGTCTGCACACAGGGGTTCATGTAGTAAGTTGAATTTGGTGTGTTTGGTGTACTGCTCTGAGGGGCTGTGTTTAGTGGTGGCTTTTTACCTATCTGACCTTGGGCTAACTTTGGTCAAGGGAGGGCGGTGTAGTGAGGGAGCTGAGTAGGATGAGAGTCCTGGGCCTTTCAGCTGTTGGAATTCTGTGACTCCACGGAGGTGGATTTTGCTTCAAATTTCTATTTTCTTTTTTTCTTACAGGTTATATGAACTAAATGTGGAAGATGTTAATGAAATAGATTGGGAAGCTCTTGCCAGTGCCATAGGGTAAGACAAGGTTTTGATATTAAGCTACTTAAATGGTAGGGATGACTTAAAAAAAATCTTAAGCATTTATTTTGTGTATGTGGGTGCACACATGTGTGTCACGGCATGGGTGTGGCGGTCAGAACAACTTGTAGGAGCCAGTTTTCGCCTTCTACCATACAAGTTCTAGGGGTCGATCTCAGGTTATCAAGCTTGGTGGCAAGCGCCTTTACCTGCTGAACCAGAGATGACTGCCTGTTGTGTTTCATCAGGCTTGAAATTCATGCTACGTAGGATTGGGTCTGAGTAGTAGCAGAATGGAGCCGGTGAGAGATGGCTTCATCCATGTACAGTGACTGCATCAGGACCTGCGTTCAGATCCTCAGCACCATGGCTACCTGTACCAATAGCCCCGTGACGGGGGAGTGGGGTCAGAGTACGTGGATTCCGGCCTTACTCTGCCAGCTGGTCTGGCCAAGTCCCTGCACTCCAGCTTCAGTTAGAGGCTGGCCCAGAAACAAGGTTGGGGTCAATAGAGGAGACATGTGATGTCATCCTCTGACTCTGTCTCTCTCTCTCTCTGTGTCTGTCTCTCTCTGTCTCTCTCTCTCTCTCTCTGTCTCTCTCTCATACACACACAATTTGTGTGTGCAAGAAAACCAGCTTAATGTAACTTAGTAAAAACTAAGCTTTAGGAACCAGCCCAACAGGTGAGCCACTAGACAGAGCTCTTGTTGTCTTTGAGGTCTTCGTTTCCCTAAGCAGGCCATGAACTGAATGTGTTCTTTTTCTCTCTCTCCTTTTCTCCTTTCTTGTTCTCTGTGGGGTTGTCATCTGTGGAGGGTTTGTGACTAGTAGAGCACATCCCTGTGGCCTCCCCCAGCCCCTCCTTAGGTTTGAAGTGAGGTAATAATTGTTCTAAGGAAGCATGCTGGGGGGCTGCGGTGCGGTGGGGATGACTGCAAATTATCTCTAGTGATTAGGGATTCAGTAGCCCAGAATTATGATTCAGCTGCAGAACAGGAACATCTGTCCCAGAGCTTGTCTTGGCTCTGGAGACAGAGCACTGAGCAAAACCCAGCTTCTCCCCCAGTGTGGCTGCAGACTCCACCTGAAGCCCTCACAGGCTGCACTGGCCACAGCGGTGGACGCTGACAGTGAACTCCTGACCCTCCTATGTGTCGGGCACAAAAGAGCAGTGAGGACAGACTGGTGGACTCACACTGATGTCTTGCCGGAAGAGGCTGCGAACAGTGCGCTACTTGCAGGACCTGGGTTCTAATAAGAAAATAAAGTGGGAGCTGCAGTGTGCTCTGCAGTTACAAGCACTGGCTGTGTGCAGAGGACCCGGGTTCGAATCCCAGCACCCACATGGCAGCCAATAACCATCCATAGCTCCAGTTCCAGAGAACCCAGTGCCCTCTTCTGTCCTCCAGGGCATTGCAGGTGCATTTATAGACCTGCAGGCAACACATACAAAATAAAAACACTTTTATTTTGGTATTTTTGAGTCAGGGTCTCCCTGTAGCCCCAGCTGGCCTGGAACTCACTATGTAGACCAGGCTGGCCTTGAACTCACAGAGATCCGCCTGCCTCTGCCTCCCGACTGCTGGGATTAAAGGCATGCACCACCACGCCCGGCTAAAAATATTTTTTAAAAAATTAAAAATATTATCAAAAAAATTATGAAGAGAGGGACGGAGGAAGGGAGGGAAGGAAGGAGGGAGGGAGGAAAGGAAGGAAGGAAGGGAGAGAGGGAGGAAGGAAGGAAGGAAGGAAGGAAGGAAGGAAGGAAGGAAGGAAGGAAGGAAGGAAGGAGGGAGGGAGAGAAGGAGGGAGGGAAAGAAGAAGGAAGGCAGGCAGGCCAGCCAGGGTGTGGGGAACGGGAGGGTATTAGGCAGACATGGTAACCATGTGGAGAAGGGGAAGCGTGCTCCAGGGCAGGGGTCGTGAATGTAAAAACCTTGACACAGGCACTTGTCTTGGCACCGGTAGGTGGCCAGAGTGGGTGATACTAGTGGGTGAGTGGGCCGATCCGCTGGACTTACATCGGTGACCAGTCAGGCAGGGGACAGCGTGCCATGCTCTCCAGACAGCAGGAGCCCTACTTCTCTGTAGTATCTCAACTTAGAGCTTCATGAGCTCTTGATTCCAGCTCAGAAAGCGCAGCCCAGTGCACCCTGAAGTCACTACAGGACAAGCTTTGCGTCGCTTTGCTTTTTGCTTGGTTTTATGGCCGATCTCACTCTGTACCCCAGGCTGTCCTCAGATTCACCATCTTTCTGTCTCCAAGTGCTGGAGTTACCAGTTTGGGGAACTTTTTAGGGCTAGCAGCACCACATCAAAAAGCCCAGCGGTGTTGAGTCTGGTGTCGAGCCTGGATGGCATGTATGAAACACTCCCAGGTGGTCCTCACCTGTAGCCATTGTGGTTCTCCAGAGTACCCTGGTAAAGTGACCTGCTTCTAGAGCTGTATTCTAGGTAGAGTCTTTGGGTTGCGGGGAGTAAGAATGCAAAAACAGAATTGAGTATTTTCCTCACCCATAAGGACCTTGTGAGGTTTAATTTGTTAATTTTGAATAGGTAATAGATTGCACGGTCCAGGGTGGAAGAGGCGGAAGAAAGAGGGGCCCTCCCCACTGCTCCACTGGGGTGTTTATGCAGGACAGCTCCAGGTCTGCACCTTGCTCTGCTCTTCCCCCCCTCAAACAACAGTCCCAGAGGCTGACCTTCCAAAGGACAGCTTTGACTATCCTTTCATGATTGTCTTAAAACCTGTCTGTCTTTCCCTCCCTACCCTACAGGGCCTTACTCTTTGTTTTCCTAAGTACTGCATTATCAACAATGCCTAAACATTTTTTAACTTTTTACTGGGAAAGGTTTAGATAGATAAAAGAAGAAACGGCCCTCGGTACCCAGCTCTTCAGTAACTTGTCACATCTGGCCAGCCTTATCAAACATCTGTGTCCACTCCTCCTGATTATTGTCCTGTTAGTAAACTTTATCTGCACTAGGCCTTGGCACCCTTTGAAACTTGAAAGGGCCCTTTGGTAGCTCTGTTAGGCTATCGGTGCTTCTGCTTCTAGAAATGCACTCCTAATATCTGAATTTTGTGTTTGCTAAGGGAAGGTCCCTCTAAAGAAAACAGATTGTTGAAAGTTATGGAGTTTGGATTGCACACTTGGAGCAGGAGGCGCTGAGGGGTCATTTGACCTTTAGTTCTGTCCCAGGGACCACGGAAGGGAGCCCCGCAGACAGGCCAGTGACCAGAAGTGGCTCCCGGGCACTGGGGATGTAGCTCAGTTGCTAGAGGGTGTTGCTAGAGCACATTGTATGAAGTACCCCCTCCAAAAAATAATGGTTCCTGGAGGAACCGTTTGACAAGTCCAAACTTGTTCTGCTGGTCAGTTGCTTACATCTGGGAAAACAACCACAAAACAAAGAACATCTGGTCTTTTCTTTGACTGCAGTGGAACCCTCCAAGGCTTCCCACAGGCCCTGGCCCAGGCCTGTCCTTGCCGGCCTCACTCCTGAAGATCCCGGGGTCCCGGGAGGTGACCCTGTATATACCCCATCACCTCCAGCTTGACAAGTTCTTGTCAGCAGAGCCTTCCCCTTACAGGATCAAACTGCTTGTGGATTCAGTCTCCACCGAATTCTGTGCACCTGTGACACCACTTCCAAACTCTTAAGACAGGGTCTCACATAATCTGGACTTGACTTCTTTCTATAGCTGGTGATGGCCTTGAACTCCTGGTCCTCCACTTCCCAGGTGCTGGGATTATTGCACGGGGGACCACACCAAGCTAAAGAGAGTGGGTGGGTTTTTTGTTTTTTTGTTTTTTTTTTTTTCCGGTCTTGCCATACAGCCTGACTAGCCTGGAACTCGCTGTAATCCTCCTGCCTCTGCTTCTTGAATACTAGGTTATAGGTTTGTGTTACCACCCAGTTCATGCTGTGCTGGGGATTGAACCCAAGGCCTTGTGAATGCTGGACAAGCACTCTACCAACTAAGCTACACCTCCAGCACATATTTTTTTCATTAAAATTGATTTCTTGTGGACGGGGAGGGGCGCTTGTTGGCGCACGCTTTTAATCCCAGCACTCAGGAGACAGAGGCAAGTGGATCTCTGTGAGTTCAAGGCCAGCCTGGTCTCCATAGTGAATCCAGGCTAGCTACAGCTACAGGGATACCCTGTCTCAAAAAGACCAAAAATAAAATAAAATTGATGTATCGGGGATGGAGAGATGGCTCAGTGGTTAAGAGCACTTGTTGCTCTTCCAGAGGACCCAAGTTCAATTCCAAGTTCTCAACTGTCTAACTCCAGTTCCAGGAGATCTCATGCCACCTGTGGCCTCTGAGAGCACTACACACATGGTGCTCCTATAGACAAACAATGTACACACATATGCATAGATAAAAATAAGTAAGCCGCCGGGCATGGTGGCGCAGCCTTTAATCCCAGCACTAGGGAGGCAGAGGCAGGCGGATCCTTGTGAGTTCAAGGCCAGCCTGGTCTACATAGTGAGTTCCAGGACAACTGGGGCTACAGGGAGACCCTGTCTCAGCAGTGATAGCGGTGCCAAGGACACCAGGCACTTTCTGAGCCCACAGAAAGCCCAAGATAGAGTGACAGTTAGAAAATTAATAACAAGTAAGAGCGTGCCAGGTACACTGCATGTTTCTTATCACAACCAATTCCAATAGGCAACCTTCCTTGAAGTTCCAGCCTCAACCCACGGAGGATCTCACGTGGGCTTCATTGGAGATGGCGTGACAAGGGAGACCCTGTCTCAAAAAATCTAAATAAAAATTTAAAGATTCATTTAAAATGTATTTTTTACGATTTTAAGTAAAATATCTTATGGGTTTTGATGCTGGGGAATGAACTCAGGGCCTTGCAGCTGGAAGCAGGTGCTTCACCACAAAGCTGTACCTCCAGCAGATAAAGTAGATTATCCTGCTAATGTGTAAACTTCCAGACAGCAAGTATGCCATCGAGTCAGCACCACGCACAGTGAACACTGTGTCTGAAGTTACGGGAGCACACCGGCCACTGAGATGAGGACCTTCGTGCGGGGCTGGGACATTTGCCTCACATGTGCCAGGCTCCTGGCTCCATCCCCAGTACCACCCCCCTCCGCACAAACAACCTGAATCTGTAAAAGTGAGAGGCTGGGACGCAGCTCAGTCATGGAACACGTCCTGATATGTGCAAGGCCGTTTACAGATGTTTTCAGTGTGCAGTACCACAAAAACGAAAAGGAAGTTGTGTGTGCAACTCTGTCTCAAGGAAACAAAAGTGATAAAAACCAAACATGAAACCCTGTCTCAAAAAACAAGTAAAATGATTCCACTCTGGGAGGTCCGTGGCTCCACGTCCTCGAAGCTGCTCATGAATCACCTGGGCAGAGTTCAGGACAGCATCCACCTAATGAGGTGCAGCTGCTGCCTGGCTGTCACTGCAGGAGGCAGAGGTGGGTCTTCTCAGAGCCGGGCCTTGGGTCTGCAGAGCAGAGCAGCACATCGGATCACCCTAGCGCTTGGGTTTCAGAGATCAATGGAGCTGCCACTGAGTCCACGGCTCTGCCATTTACATATTTTTTAAAAAGAGGTTTAATTTATTTTTTAATTTTGGGGATGTATGCATCTATGTGTAGGTAGGTTCACATGAATGCAGGTGCCCACAGAGGCCAGAGATGGCAGATCCCCTGGAGCTGGAGTTAAGGTGGTTGTAAGCTGCCTGACGTGGGTGCTAGGACTTGAACTTGGGTCCTATGCGAGAGCAGCCAGGGCTCTTAACTGCTGAGCCATCTCTCCTGCCCCCAGACTTGGCCATTTAACCTCCCCTGAGCAAGGTGCTCCCTTGCTGTTCGCAGGGCTGTTGAGAGACCGGGAGACAGTGTGAGTCAGCTGGGCTCTCAGCATACAGCATGTGCTGGCTTAGCAGTTGTCTTAAGTGTAAAGTAAACAGTTGAAATTATTCACACTAGAAATTCTAACAACTAGGCTAGTTTCGGGGGAGTCAAAAAAGTTTTTTATTTTTATTTGTTATCTTACTATTTTTATGAAGAAAGTTTCCAGATAGTGACAGCCTCTTCTGACCTCTGCTGGCATTGCACGACACGGGTGCACTTACCTACATGTAGGTGGTGTGCACATATGTATAAAATAAAAATGATAAATAGAAATATTAAAAATAAATAAGGCCGGGCGTGGTGGTGCACACCTTTAATCCCAGCACTTGGGAGGCAGAGGCAGGCGGATCTCTGTGAGTTCAAGGCCAGCCTGGTCTACATAGTGAGTTCCAGGACAGCTGGGGCTACAGGGAGACCCTGTCTCAAAAAGACCAAAAAAAATAACAATAAAGTCAGAACAAGGCCAGTGGTGGTGGTACACACCTTTAATCCCACCACTCAGGAGGCAAAAGCAGGCAGATCTTTGTGAATTGGAGTCCAGCCTGCTCTACAAAGTGAGATTGTCTCAGAAAAGAACAGCTGCCTTGCCATGTGGGTAACAGGCTATGTACCTGCAGAGTAGGGAAAGAGTGTAGGGCTGGAGACCAGCTCCCACCAAAGGCAAGGCCCAGTGTTTTCCCTCACTAGCAGTGCCCGGTTTCCTCATCTCCAAGGGATAGCACCTCCCGTCTGAAGTGGTCACGAGAATCAAGTGTCACTATTTGAAGTCCATGGGCAGGGCCACATTCAAGGCAGCCACCAGCATGTCTAAGTGCTCTGCCACTGTCTTCTCGATCCTTTAAACAGTGCCCATCTAGTCCTGACTCTTGGTGGTTTTCTGTTTCATTGCTTTTGTATTTGTTGTTGTTGCTAGGGATCAAACCCAGGGCCTGAGTACTAAGCACACACCCTGCCCTAAGCTACACCCCTTGCTCTGCTTGTGGGCTTTTTTGTTTATCTTAGTTTATAGTTTGCTTCATTTTTAACATTTTATTTATTATTTTATGTGTGCAAGTGTATTGCCTGCATGTAGGTAAGTGCATTGTGTCATGCAGTGTCTGTGGAGGTCAGAAGTGGCAGACCCCCTGAAACTGGAGTGATGGGTGGTTGTCAGCCGCCATGTGGGTGCTGGGAATCGAACAGAGCAAGAGCAGCCAGTGCTCTTAACTACTGAGCCAGCTCACCAGCCCACTTTTTTTTTTTTTTTTAATGAATGGATGAACCAATGAATTTTTAAAAATTTACTAAGTTTTAGCCGGGCGTGGTAGCACATGCCTTTAATCCCAGCACTCGGGAAGCAGAGGCAGGCGGATCTCTGTGAGTTCAAGGCCAGCCTGGTCTACATAGTGAGTTTCAGGACAGCCGGGGCTACAGGGAGACCCTGTCTCAAAAAGACAAAAAAAAATTAATTTTTCTGTGTATGACTATTTGCTTGCATGTATGTATGTGTATCAGGTGTATACATGGTGCCCAAAGAGGCCAGAAGAGGGCATTGGATCTCCTGGAACTAGAGTTACTAGTGGTTATGAGCTGCTTGATGTGGGTGGTGGGGATCAAACCTAGGGCCTCTGCAAAAACAGTCAGTGCTCTTAACCACAGAGCCATCTCTCCAGCTTGGCTTTTTTTTTTTTTTTTTTTTTTTTTTCTCTTTAACCAAATAAGCAGCAGCTTTTCCCATGTTCCCATCACGTTATGGACGTGATGAGGTCATATCCAGATAAGTGAACATGTGCTTGCACACGCTAATACTTGTACTTGCATAAATGCCAAAATGATGGCATTCTAACTGACCCTCCTTTTTATGTTTCCTTCCACAGGGATGTCCCTCCATCTTATGTTCAAATTAAATTTTATAAGCTGAAAGCTTCCTGCGTTCCTTTTTGGCAGAAAAAGACTTTTCCAGGTCAGTATTCCAGATACCGCCTAGTTATGAGCCCAGTGTGGATGCCCTCTCTTGTCGAGTGCTGCTTGGCACCTCAGGCTTCCCTGGCCACAGAATGGTGGATTGGCAAACCATAGTCCCCTGCCGGCACGCCAAAGGGACTGAGTGAGACATGAGCCCATCACAGTGCCAGGCACTTCCAGGCCGCCTGGGAAGAGGCTGTGTACCACTCACTGCACATCCACATCCAGAAGTGCCGCAGGGTGCCCGGTTGTACTCTGTGGCGTCTGTGGTTGATCATCAGCACCATGTGAAAAACTTGTTACAAATGTAGGTCCCTTGCTGGGCATAATGGCCAGTGTTTGTAATATCAGCACTTGGGAAGTGGAGGCAGGAAAGTCACAAGTTCGAGGCTAGCCTGGGCCACATAGCAAGACCCTGTCTCAAAAAGAATGGGGGAAAAAAACCAGCACAGTGTAACGTCCTAAAATTCTAGCATTTGAGAGGTGGGGGCAGGATGATAGGACGTTCAGGATCAGCCTCTGCTCTACAGCAAGTTTGAGGCCAGCCTGGGCTACATGAGCCCCTGTCTCAGAAAATCACCAAAATTGCTGGGCTTGGTGGGTGCATGACTTTTAATCCCAGCACTTGAGCAACAGAGGCAGGTGGATCTCTGTGAGTTCCAGGCCAGCCTGGTCTACATAATGAGTTCTAGGCCAGCCAGGGCTACACAGACCCTGTCTCAAAACAAAACAAAATTAACGACAAAAACAATAAAACTACATTACTGGGTGTCCTCCCCTCCAGGCCAAGTCCAGCCTCTCTAACCAGCTTCCCAGGACAGTCTTCCCTAGGCAGAGCAGTCAGGGACTGTTCCCTGGAGAGCATGGTGAGTCACTGCTCCGCATTAGCACATGTCACTGTCTGGGCTCACCTGGTTGAGTTGACCTTCAACAACTTTAATGTCTTCAGGCCTCAGTTTCCCCATTTGAAGAACTGGTCAGAGGGAGCTGGGAAGTTCAGAGTCAAATGCTTGCTGCACAAGGACCTGAGTTTGGATCCCCAGAATCCCCATACTGGGGAGCAGAGCTCCCAGCCAGCCTAGCCAAACTGGTGAGCGCCAGATAATACCGTGCACGCACGCACACATACGCGCCAATGACAGAATCCAAGTAAGCCAAGCTGACTGCGTCTTGCACTTGGTAATAAGCACAGGATCCTTTGTGCAAATAGTTTCAAAATAAATTTCTTTGCCATAGAGATCATCGACTACTTGTATGAGACCAGTCTGCCTTTGCTTAAAGAAAAATTAAACAAGATGATGAAGAAAAAAGACATCCAGATCCAGACGCCCTCAACTCTTAAGCAAGATTTTCTGTTCAAAGACATCTTCTATTGGGACGACGGCAGTGAGGGAGAGGAAGGGGAGGACATGGAGGAGCACAGCTGAGCACAGGTCACTCCTGTCCTGTTTCTGTGTTATGGTTTGGTTGTGCTTATACACTTGTGTCAGTCGGCCGGAGACAATCAACTCAGAAAAAAGGTTTCTTTGGTTCTGGAGGCTCCATGAGCTGCTCGTGCCATTGCTTTGAACCTGTGGGGAAGTGGCGCATCCTGACTAGAAGATGTGACAGTAGAGGTGCTCACACAGCCCAGAAGCAGGAGAGAGCAAGGGGGTCCTGCAGTCCCTTTTATGGCTTACCCCCAGTGATCTAAAGAATGCTCAGTAGGCCCTGCCATTTCCCAGCGGCACTGCCCTGGGGACCCAGCCTTTCATATGGGGGCCTTTGGGGACTAGAAGCTAGGAAAGCGCTTAGCACTGACATTAAAGATCAGGCAATGGCCAGAAGAGCATTGAAATGTTGCTGGGGAGATGACTCAGTCTGTGAAGTGCTGGCCTCACAAGCCTGAGGACCCACGTGAGATCACCAGGCCTCACACACAAAGCCAGGCATAGTGGCACGAACTCCTGTGATTCCAGTGCTTGGCAGGTGGAAACAGGTGGGTCCTTAGAGCTAGCTGGCCAGCCAGCCCAGTCTGATTTTACCCAGTGAGAACCTTGCCTCAAAAGACAATATGAGGAGGCCAGAGAGAGCCGGTTAAGAGCACTGGCTGCTTTTGCAAAGGACCCAGGTTCGAGTCCCAACACCCACATTGTGGCTAACAACCTTCCATAACTCCAGTTTCAGAGGCAATCTGACTCCTTTTTTGGCCTCCCTGGGCATTGCAGGCAAAACACTGATATACACAAAATAATTTTTTTTTAATGGGGGATGGGACCACTCCTGAGGAATGACGTAAGAGATGGCTCTCTGGCCTACACACACGCACATGCACACATTTTAAAAGGATCAGTATTCCTATTCACTTGTTTGGTTGTGAAGACAGGAGCATATGAATTGATTTTTCTGTGTCATTATATGGAAAATAATTACACTGATGATCCCAGAGAGCCCAAACAGCCCCAGTCCCTCCGGTAGTAGCAGGTGGAGTCACAGTGTGGACACTCCCCATTGCTGATCCCAGTGTTTGCATGCACAGTGAAAACGAGGCCATCCCTTTCTGGTCTGTCTGATCTGACTCCTCACTGCACATCTCGTCCTTGAGGAGGCTGCTGGTGACTGAAGATCCTACTTCTATTCTTCCCTCCCCAGCTGGTTACCAAGTTGATGTGGTGGTCATTTAGAGCTGAGCACTTTCTGGAAAGATGCCAGCTGTTAGTCTTGGAAGAGGCTGTCAGACTGACAACTCCCACTGGAGTCTTGGGACAGGTTGAAGGCAGGCTTCTGTCGGTCAAGAAAGCAGGACCACTGTAGATATTTCAGAGAACTACTGCAGGGCTAGCTAGCAAAATTATTCAATAAAATCTGTACACAGAGTTACACACCCATTATCCCAGCACTTAGGCGGCAAAGGCAGAGGGTCACAGGAGTGAGACACCCTCCCACATACACACACTGTTAAGTGGGATGTAGGCACCCACCGGGATGGGTGCATTGCCCAGACAGCAGCCCCTGCAGAGAAGCCACTATGGCCCTGTGTGGCTACCCATCACCCATGTGCTCTAGGCTGCTGTCTGCTGCTCCCTGCAGTGGCCTGTGCTCCTGCCTTCTGGTCTCACAGTGCCAGCCCCTTGTAGGCCCCTGTTGCTGGGGAGTCTGAGAGATCCTGACCTGTCTGTACAGGGAGCAGCAGAGAAGATGGCTTGGTGACAGTGGTATCCCCAACTTCACCGTCCCCACACTCAGAGGTCATCTGCGCGGCACCATTAGGTGGATTAATGACCTGCGAAGCTAGGCATGCCTGCAGACCGTCTACTAGAAGGAAGATGGACAAGAGGGTCTGCTGTGCCAGTGTCCCCAGTGTTTCACCGGGCAGACACTCAGCACTGGGAAGGCAGGGGCAGGAAGATTAGGAGTTCAAGGTCATCCTTGCCTTGGCCCTGCCTCTGGCCAGCCAGCCAAAAGATTCAGTAAGAGAGATGTCTTCGTAGTAAGAAGACATTTGCTCTGTCCACCCTCAGGCCTTCCATCTCCAAGGTGACACTGTGACTTACTCCTTTCAGATACATCAAAGCCTGGAGGGAACATACTCTGTACCAGGAGTTCACTTCTAGGAATTTGCCCTCAGTAAGAGAACTAATATATAAATGTCATATTTGTGATAGAGAATACAGAAAAAAATATAAATGTTCCTTAATAGGAAGTTTGTGAAGTTATGGTGTCCTAAAATGGACTATGATGTAAGTTAATATGATAATGAAAAGATATTTTCCTGAAATATTCAGAGGAATATTTTTTTCTCAATTTTGTAAAAATGAAAAATAAAAGAAATTGATTGTTTACACAGATGTATTAAAATGACCTCAAAGTATGGACAGTGGTCTCTGGACAGCTCATGGGCTACAGCACCTCTTGTAACTGCACAAGGAGCCATGGAACTCAGAGACTCGGAGCCCCAAAGACCGCAGCTCTCCAGCTTAGCATCTGGGCTTCTCTGGGTCCTTAGTCCCCGAGGTCGGCTTCTGGGCTGGTTCTTCAGGTCCCTTCTCTAGAGGCCATCTTACCCTCTGCCCACGCAGGACAGCCTGGCTTCCGCAGTGCTGCCCCAGAAAAGCAGCAGGGGCCCCCACGGCTGCAGGCTGGCCCCAGCTGCCGTTCCCCCATCCAAATGAGGGCGCACTCCAGGCAGAGCTGGCAGCATGGCAGGAAAGCGGGCTTGGCTGAAGCCAGGGGCTCAGCTCTGAGGTCAGGACCCCAGTGGGACGTCAGGGTCACAGGAGCAAGAAAAGGTGAATGTGCCTCCAGGACACAGCACACACATGCACAAAGCAGCCGGTCACGACTAGAGTCACAAATGTTGCCCAGTAAGCCTGTGTGCTGCTTTGTTTTTATATCTTTTTCTTGCTTTTACTTCCTATGCCTCCATCCCCCCAAAATCCATTCAAATCACCCATTGCCAATCACTCCACTGCCGAACAAACCACCTTCTTGGCAATAATATAGTCCAGGGACTAGGAGGAGAAGGCAGGCAGGTACATTGTGTGACATCATTTCTGTAGAAAAATGAACAAACAAATGTCTACCCCCCCACATGGAGAACTAACAACAAACCAAAGTAAGGATACTACCAAAATCCAACTTGGTGAACAGATGCATTTTACTGGGGCTTCTTACAAGAGTAGGGGTGAGGGCTTACTCCAGGAGCAGAAATGATTCAAAGACAGCTGCGTCACCAAAAGCCCAGCCCAGCACGCGTGACAGCTCACGAAAGCAGGAGGCCTGGAGTGCTGCGCAACCTGCAGGCAGCTGGACGGGTTGGAGTGCGTCCTTTCCAGGGAGCCGCCTTGTCTGATCCTGTCTTGGCAGTTGTGGGGAGGGAGAGTCTAGTAACACCTGGTCAATTCCAGGGACTTCTGGAAGCTATGCAGTTGTCTGCTTCCTGAGCTTAAGGACTTTCCCTGTAGGATGGAATGTTTTCCAAAACATCCTGTTGTTGGGGGACAGAGAGATGCGTCAGTGGTTAAGGGCACTGGCTGCTCATATATAACTGGTACTTGAAGAGCCAGAATTGTCTGACTCCATTTTGGCTAGCTTCTTCAGACAAGCCCGGACAAGCTCAGGCATATTGTAAATCTTTCCAGTTGCTATCCCCCTGCCCCCAGGAAGCTATAAATTAAGCAAGCCCTGGACATGTAAAAGCCTTATAAGGGATGAACAAAAACTTCTGGCCCCAAAAGATATCAGTCAGCACATTCCAATGCCCTGAAGACAGCCCCTACCAATCAAGACTTACCCCGTATTCAGGATATGGGGACATCCAATTATTTTAAAAGATGCTTGGCGCACGCGGGTTTCTGTGAAGTTCCCCAATAAAAGCCCCTGCCTGCTGTTTTTTGGGGCCAGACTCCGTCTTTGGCTTGTGTAGTCTGTGCCCGGCTGGCCGCCATTTGGTTGTTTTTACTTTAAATTCCTTAATAAACTTTTTGTATAATCCTTTTGGTATCTGTGGGAATTATTCTCGATTCTCGGACCCTGACAGTACTCATACATATATATGAGTACATGAAACTGGGTGGGAGGTAGTAGGAGGTGCCATTAGGTGAAGGAGAGAATCCAAATATGGTCAAAATATATTGTACCAGGGGCTGGAGAGATGACTCTGTGGTTAAGGGCACTGGCTGTTCTTGCAGAGGGCTGGGCTCAGTTCCCAGCACCCACATGGTGACAACCATCTGAAACTCCATTTCCAGGGGCTCCAGGGCCCTCTTCTAGCTTCCATGGGCATTGCACAACACAGGTGCACTTATACACACTCAGGCAATACACTAATAATAAATACAATATTTTAAAATATGTATTGTGTAAAATTTCAATTTAAAAAAGAAGAAGCTGGGAATGGTGGTGGTGCACGCCTTTAACCCCAGCCTTGGGACGTGGAGGCCAGGAAATCCGTGAGTTCCAGGCCAGCTGGGACTACAGGGAAACCTTGTCTACACACACACACACACACACACACACACACACACACACGGAAAAAAGAAAAGAGATGTCCACCGCTGCTTCCAGGCTTCAGTAGTGATTTTAAAATAGATCAACATTAGTGATTATCAAAATGATGATTCAGTCATATATTGCAAAATGCCTTGGATAACACAGTTTTAAATTGTAACATCCAAAAAGATGAGCTATTTTTAGTGAAAAATTTCTGTTAATTCTTATGTAGAAAAATGTTTTCTATTCTTTTATATATATTTGTGTGTGTGTGTGTGTGTGTGTGTGTGTGTGTGTGTGTGTGTATAAGTATATAGCATGCCTGTATGGAAGTATACCCATGTCCTGCAATGCCTGTAGAGGTCAGAAGAGGGCATTGAATCCTCTGGAATTGGAGTTACATACGGTTGTCAGCTGCCATGTGGGTGCTGGGATTTGAGCCCATATTTTCTATTCTTAACTAATAAAAAGAGATAGACAAAGTTAAAAAAACTCATTCTCTTGGATGATGAAGGAACCAGGCTGACTCCATTTTGTACAAGCCATGTCAGCTGTCAGCTCCAACAAGTTTCAATTTCCCAGAAACTTGAAGTTTCTGTTTCCTGGAACCATAAGTTACCATTTACTGGAAACTGGCAGTTAAGATTAGATCAGCACGGAAAGTCCCCAAACCCAGGCCCACCAATCAGGGAAGAACAGCACATCTGGCCGGGGAGATAACGGTCAGAGTCTCTGAAACACAGTAACCCAGAGAAATTTGGCCAATGAAATACAGACCCATGGTCTGACCACAGGAACTAACCAATGAGAATAAAGGTCATGGTTTTTGGGGGTTTGCCCTATAAAAATGCTTGTTAACTGTAAAACGGGGCTTGACTCAGCAGTCGGCATGAGAGTCATAGCCCCGGCTAGCTGGAATAACTAAGTTTTTTTTTAAATAAAACTTTTCTAAATTTGTTACTGTCTGTCTCCAATTATTCCCAACTCCTGGACCCAACATTTTGGGGGCTCGTCTGGGATTTGGGAAAATTGGGATAGACACCTGGAGACATGTGCACCCCCCTGAAGCCAGCCTTGGTAAGTCACTTTCTGTTTTTAAGTTTTTTTCTGGTGTCCAGACATAAAACTGGGGCTCAACTGGGATCCCCCGCCCTGTGCTGCACCTCCTCAGCAGAATAGGTGCCAAGAGGGCAGTCACCAGGCACCCCATAGGCCCCGGTTCCCCTCTTCACGACCGGAGTCACCAGAGAACAGGGCTGCATCATCTTCTGACTCCTCCTGATTTCCATCACCCCCGGCTCCCCGACCCAACCCCAGCCCACTTCATACCTGCTCTGAAGGGGTAGACAGAGTTGTCAGGGCATTGCCCCTGAGGGAGGTAGCCCCCCCCCGATGAACATGGAGTAGCCCCCTTGGCCTACTTCCCCTTTTCCACCAGTGATCTGTATAACTGGAAGTTACAAACCCCCTCCTTCATGGAGAAACCCCAAGACCTCATAGCCCTCCTGGACACTGTGCTTTTTACTCATCAGCCCACATGGGTTGACTGCCAGCAGTTACTACAGGTTCTTTTTACCATGGAGGAAAGAGACCATATTAGAAGGGAATGTCACCGGCTGGTCCCCAGGGATGATGGACACCCCACAGACAATGAAGATATTATAGTGGTGGCTTTTCCTCTCACCCAGCCTACCATGGGATGGAATTATAACTCCACTGAAGATAGGGAGCGCCTGAAGGTCTATCGCCAGATTCTTCTGAAGGGTCTCCGGGCCCTCACGAGGCAACCCACAAATTTGTCCAAAGTGAGTTAGGTGATACAGGAAAAGACAGCGGTCCCGGGGGCATACTTAGAGCACCTACTAGAGGCCTACAGGACTTATACTCCCCTCGACCCTGAAGCTCCCGAGAACCAAATGACAGTCAATATGGCCTTCGTGAGTCAAGCAGCTCCAGATATCAAAAAGTAACTCCTGTGACGCAAGGGGTTTGAAGGTAAAAATGTATCTGCATTGGTTGTTAAAGTTCATAATAATAGGGAAACTCCAGAGGAACGGCAGACCCAAGGGCTGGCCATGATATTTCTGGCTGAACGAGGAAGACCCCCTAGCCTAGGGCCGAGAACCCAGGCGTCGGGAACCAGATCTCCCCAATGGGGGAATGGGGGTCATTCTCCCCTCAAGAAGGATCAATGTGCATATGGTAAGGAAATGGGCCATTGGAAGGGGGAATGCCCCCAAAAGAAGAAAAAGAAGGGTCCAAAGGTTCTGGAGCTGGCTGGACTTGAGGACTGAAGGGGACGGGGCTCGAGGACCGTCCACCACGAGCCCTGGGTAACTCTACAGGTGGGGGGCAGGAGGTTGATTTCCTGGTGGACACCGGGGCTCAATATTCAGTATTAAAGAAACCCCAGGGGGCATTAACCAATAAGTGTACCTGGGTTCCAGGGGCCACCGGAGTGGCCCAGTACCCTTGGACCACAAAATGGACTGTGGACTTGGGTGACAAAAAAGTCTTGCACTCCTTCATGGTAGTCCCTGAATGCCCTTACCCACTGCTGGGCAGAGACCTCCTAACTGAAATGCAAGCCCAGATACGTTTTACTGGCAAGGAGATAACTGTTACTCCACAACTGGAGGCTTATGTACTATGCCTCAATTTGGAAGATGAATTCAGGATTTTCACTCCTTTGCCCACCTCTGAGCTATCCCTGATCCTAACTAAATTCCAAAAGCTAGTACCAGGGGTATGGGCAGAGACTAACCCACCAGGGTTGGCCAAACAATGGCTCCCGGTGATAGTGACTCTAAAAATGGGAGCACAGCCCATCCGAATAAAACAATATCCCATGACCCCTGAGGTGAAAGCAGGCATCATGAAACACATCAACAGTCTTCTGAAACATGGCATCCTGGTACCCTGGATGCCAGTCACCCTGGAATACCCCCCTCTTGCATGTTAAGAAGCCAGGAACCAAGGATTATAGGCCAGTCCAGGACCTGAGAGAAGTCAATTGAAGGATCAAGGATATTCACCCAACAGTGCCTAACCCATATGCCCTCTTGAACTCTCTTAGGCCCACCTTGAAAGTCTATATGGTGTTGGACCTGAAGGATGCTTTCTTCAGCCTAGCCCTTGAGTGCAAAAGCTAGCCTCTCTTTGCCTTTGAATGGCATGATCCAGACTGAGGGCTCAGCGGCCAGCTCACTTGGACTCAGTTACCACAAGGATTCAAAAACACTGCCACCATCTTTGACGAGGCCCTCCACCAGGACTTACGTGAGTACCATGCCTCCCACCCAGAAGTATGCCTTCTCCAATATGTAGATGACCTTCTAGTTGCAGCACAGGGTGAGATCTCCTGTGAGAGAGCCACAAGGGACTTGCTTCAAGCCCTAGATCAAGTTGGTTATAAAGTGTCTGCTAAAAAGGCCCAGCCTTGCACCTCACAAGTGACCTATTTAGGCTATATTTTAAAGGAGGGCCAATGCTGGCTGTCTCCAGCCCACAAACAAACTATTCTTGGTATACCTACCCAGAAGTCCAGGAGGCAACTCCAGGAGTTTCTGGGATTGGCTGGGTTTTGTAGACTCTGGACCCCAGGGTTTGCTGAGTTAGCCAAACCCTTGTATGTGGCAACTAGAGGGACAGAAGAGTCTTTTTGTAGGACCAAGCCTTCCAAACCCTTAAAGAAACTTTGTTAAAGGCCCCTGCTCTGGCTCTGCCCGATATCAGCAAGCCGTACCAACTATATGTAGAGGATAAATCAGGAATTGCAAAAGGAGTTTTGACCCAGCAACTAGGACCCTGGGAAAGGCCGGTGGCTTACCTATCAAAAAGACTAAACTCTGTAGCAGCTGGGTGGCCCAGTTGTCTCCGCATTATTGCTGCAACTGCACTCCGGGTCAAGGATGTAGATAAGCTGACTTTGGGTCAACACTTAACTATAACCACCCCTCACTCTATCGAAGGGGTACTCAAGAACCCTCCAGACCGATGGATGACGAACACTAGACTGACCCATTTATTACCAGGCACTGCTCCTTAACACACACCCCCACCCCCTGCATAAGGTTCCTCCCTAGCGCTTTGCTCCATCCAGCTACCCTGCTGCCTGATCTGGAACCTGAGATCCAGATGACTGCACCGAGATCCTGCACCAGATACATGGAATCAGACCGGATCTGGCAGATGTGCCATGGAAAGATCCAGATGCTACCTTCTATACTGATGGCAGTAGCTTCATGTGGAAGGGAACCAGGTACGTGGGGGCAGTGGTAGTCACCTTAACTGGAACAAAATGGGCCGCTTCATTGCCTGCTGGGACTTCAGCTCAAAAGACTGAATTGGTTGTCTTAACCAAGGCCTTACATCTGGGAAAAGATAAAACTGTCAACATCTACACAGACAGTCGCTGTGCCTTTGCTACGGCGCACGTCCATGGGGCCATCTACTGAGAGAGGGGACTACTGACAGCGGAAGGAAAAACCATCCAAAATAAA